TTGTCACCTTTACTCTTTGCCATTGCCATCGAGCCGCTGTCCATTACATTAAGATCTTCTTCTGTATTCAAGGGAATCCCCCGTAATGGAATTACACATAAAGTATCATTGTATGCGGATGACTTGTTATTATATATGACTGACCCTGCTCGCTCCATTCCTGCTGTTTTAAGTATTCTGGAGAACTTCAGCTCGTTTTCAGGTTATAAATTAAATTTAGGGAAAAGTGAGTGTTTTCCTGTTAATACGGCAGCACGTCAACTCCAACAGTCCGATCTACCCTTTCGTCTTAGTCCCTCTGGGTTTAAGTACTTAGGGGTTAACGTGACTCGCTCTCTATCTGGCCTTAAATCAGCAAATTTGTCTCCTCTTTTATCTAGGATCACATCTGATATTCAAAGATGGGGTAATCTCCCGCTTTCTTTAATCGGTAAGACTAATGTCGTTAAAATGAATATCCTACCAAAATTTTTATTTTTATTTCACTCAATTCTCTTATTTTTGCCGAAACATTTATTTGTTTCACTGGACAAGATTATTGGTTCTTTTATTTGGGGAGGGAAGCCGCCTAGGGTTTCTAAAACGTTGCTGCAGCAATGCAGATTTAGTGGAGGACTTGCATTACCTAATTTTCTAGCTTATTACTGGGCCACTCACATTCAAAAACTCTGCTACTGGCTAAAATCTTCTGGTTCCTCGTGGTGTAAATTGGAGCTATTATCATGTAAGGGCTCCTCTTTACCAGCTTTGCTCTATTCCTCTTTACCCGTAAAACCCTCTTTGTATACTGATAATCCGGTGGTTCTTAACACACTCAAAATCTGGTTTCAGTTTAGACGACACAATAATTTTGTAATGCCATCCTCTTCGGGTCCTCTAACCAACAATCATTTGTTTCCCCCTTCACTTTTGGACTCGACATTCTCAGTGTGGTGTGACAAGGGTATAGAACAGTTTAAACATGTATGTGTGGATGGTGTGTTCGATAGTTTTCCCAATTTGTCTTCTCGTTATAATCTCCCTATTACCCATTTGTTTCGCTATTTTCAAATTAGAAATTTTGTTGCCAAGTGTTTCCCGAATTTCCCCTTTTTACCTCCAGAACAGCAGTGGGAAACTATGTTATATTTTATTCCTCATCACAGAGGAACCATTTCGAAACTTTATGATGCTATTCTGTCTCTTAGTAACCACTTTAAGGTTAAGCTTAGGGATATATGGGAAGGAGAACTAGGAATTGGAATACATGAGGAGTCTTGGGAACAGGCTATAGCAAGGGTACGATCTTCCACCTCCTGCGCTCGTCTTGGACTTATCCAATTTAAGGTCATTCATAGGGTGCATTTCTCTAAGTCTAGACTTTCTGAACTGTATCCGGAAGTGGAAAATAAATGTGATAAATGCCAGGATTCTCCTTGTCACCTTAGCCACATGTTTTTTTTTGTGTCCTGAGCTACAAAGTTTCTGGACAGGGTATATTGCTATTATGTCAACTGTTCTTGGGGTAACTCTTCATCCTTGTCCTCTGATTGCGGTATTCGGGATTCCTGACCGCTCACTTATACTGGACTCCACACAAAAGGATATCATTGCCTTCACATCCCTATTAGCGAGACGTTTGATATTGTTACATTGGAAGTCTGCTAAGTGTCCTACTGTTTCCCAGTGGCTTAAAGATGTCATGTTTTTTTTTAAACTTGAAAAAATTAAATATACGCTGAGAGGGTGCACGGCCAATTTTTTTCATAAGTGGCAACCCTTTATCTCTTATTTTACTAGTCTAGAGGTATTACCTGTTTAATTGTACTTCTGTTATTGTTATATTCCGGTAATATGTTTGTTTGACGGTTGTGTTGATCTATGTGGGACGGGGGGGGGGGGGGGTCTTTGTTTTTTGGTATGGTTTTTTTGTCTAATTGTCTTGTCCCCCTTTTTTTGTTGTTGTTGTTGTTCTGTCTGATTGTTGTTATTTACCTAGAATAAATGAAGAAAGGTTAATTGTATTTTGGTAATTGCAAGTACTGTTGTTTTCTTCTTTCAATAAAAATATAATAAAAAATAAAAAAAACAGGTGTCCGAGGCCCTAAGCTGTCACAAAAGGCCCTCCAGCTGTATCTGTATTCGCTGGACTCAAAACCCTTCAAGCTACCACCCTCAGCCTCTTATAGACCACAGCGATGGCCTCCACAGGGTGTCTTTTGAGAATCCGAAAGGCCCTATTCCTAGTCCGGATGGCTTCACTACAGGCCTTGGTCCACCACTGGACCATAGACTGACCCGCAGGATCCCACTTTCTAGGAATATGAGCCTCTGCCACAGACCACAAACACTCAGCAATAGCAGCATACCAAGCATCCACATCCCCAGCCCTCCTCACCCAATAGATCGTGTCCTCCAAACCTTGCGTAAACAAGGACCAACCCCAACACCAGGAAATCAGGCTCCACCAACCTCCCAAAGTTGCTCAGCACCGGAAAATGATCACTCCCGATAGCGAGGTGACTCAAGACCTTCCACCCACAAACCATGGCAGCCAAATCAGCTGAAACCAAAGTCAGACATACTTATTAAAAACATAGCCTATCATAGCTATGCCGATGACACCCAGATCTACCTAGCCCTATCACTATTTTCCCCTGGACTCACTCTGTCAGTGCCTAGAGCAAGTAAACGACTGGATGCAGTCAAACTTCCTTCAACTAAACAAAGATGAGACTGAAGTTGTTGTTTTTGGCAACAAGAGGGGTAGAATGGATGTTATTGCTCAGCTAGACTCCAGTGGAATAAAGACAAAAACCCAGGTTAGAAATCTTGGTGTTATCATTGACTCCGACCTGAGCTTCACTGGATATATCTCACCTGACTCACCAGACTCACCTGGGAGTCCGGGGATCGAATCCCACCTGGGCCCCCGTGACTCCACACTGCCACACATGGTTGAAAAGCAATGTCTGACTTTCATTGGTTAAATTTCATAGAATTCTTTTTATTATTAGTCAGATCCAAGTTTTTTCTGTGACCATTGTGGGTTTTTCTTTTATTGACCGAAGGGTACCAACAGTGTTGTTCACATCTGTATGTCTCTTCCAGTTCTGCTCTGTCCTCTGGTGGACATCAGCTGAACTTGTTCTTTCTGACTCTGATGGTCCTCCTGCAAGTTTGTCTTTCCCACTCCACCCTGCTGATGAAGTGTGCTTTCACTGACAGCCTGTTCTGCACTGCAGATGAAACTTATCTCCTGAAGCGGCTGCTGGTTCTCTCCCAGCACCCCTTTCTGAGCATACCTGAGAAGCTCTTCTACATGGATGGCATTCTGCATTTCCCAGAAAACCGTCCAATCAGCTGCAGCGACAGTGACGAGGCCCTCCCAGTGCTGCTGTCTCCACAGTTGGCTTCCACCCTGCTGCTCGCCGTGTTCAACGACAGTGCCACCCTGCTGGCTCAGCTCCACCTGCAGTCTCTGGTCTTTCTGGAGGAGGGAGAGGAGAGGGGGCTGGTCTACCTGTACAACCACCTGACTTCTATGCTGAACATTGTGGAGAGTGGAGGCAGCAGAGAGATAGTTGTGACCTTTTCCAGAGCTGCTTTCCTCTTCCTGTTGTACTTCAGCCAGGTGCACAGTTACCGCTGGGACCTGAGTGAGCAGCTGTGTCAGCTCTACCTGCAGCACACTTGGCTGGCTCCTCATCTCATCAACCTGGCTACCAGACCCAAGAGCAACTCCCAGAGTGTACCTGGGCTCTAGGGCTCCAGAGAGGCCCCCAGAAGGGGATCACCAAAGCTCCGCTGGGCCAGCTGTCCCTGCAGGACTTCAGCTGGCATCTTAAAGTTCTGACTTGTGTGGCAGAAGGAGGGATCTGTCAGCGCTGCAGCCAGGGCTTCCTGTCCAGTGTTATCACCCCCTCCCCGCTGGGTGTGGGTGGGGACTGGCGTCTGGGGAACAGCTTTCTGGGAGTCTGCCGCCGTGTGCTCTTCCACCCAACTCTTGACGATCTGCTCCTCCCTCTAGCAGACATTCTGCAGCATCTGGCCTGTTGTTATGGAGACACGGACATCCAGGACCACGCCCGCCTTTATGACACCCTCCTGACCAAAGTGTCCCAGAAGCTGCAGATAATGGACAGCAGGTGAAGAAACAAACCCTGGCTGAGAGTGAAGAACTGACAGGTGCACTAACTGTCCACCAGACGGAGACCGCAGTCCTCCATCTCACCCTGGTTCCTTCTGAGAGACCAGGAGAAAGTGGAGAGTTGCATGAGAAGGATGCAGAGGATGTGACTGAGGCTCTGGAGACTTACAGCTCTGTTTGGTGAGCCTGGCCTTATGCCAGACGTCACACTGCAGTATCAGCTGGTCCACATGCAGGATCAAGACCCTCGCTTTGAGCAGTTGTTCAATATCCGCCTCCACTTTGTCCTCACTGATGACTATTATGAACAGCTGCAAGACATCAATGTCCCATGTGTCTTCAAAGGGAGACCCCCAGCTGTGGTGCAGCTGAGACTGAAGCCCCGGCAGCCATGACCAACCACCCTACGTATCAGCGCCATCTTCTCTACCCAGGCACACCCCTCAGCCTGATGTCCATGTGGCATTCCAGCAGTCCTTCCTGCCTGTCCCCAATCCCCTGTCCTGTCCTGGTCTGGAGAAGCGTGGCTGCAGCAGTTTGAAAGGCTGTGGGAGGAAATCAGCTGTGCTGTCAGCCTGTTCTGCTGCCAGCTGCAGGAGGTGCTGGTAGGAAACACTTTTGTCCCTTCCTCGTCTCACATCCAGCTAATGAGGACGAGTTCAGGGTGCTCTTCTTCCTTCCACCGCAGTCCCACCTGCTGCTGAAGGTCCGGTCTGAGGTGGACGCCGTGCACTTCAGCATCCCCTCTGCCAGCTTCTTCCTCTCATATATTCATACCTGCTAACAGTCACATCATCTCAGGACGCCACTAGCTGACCAAACTTTCAACATCCACAAGCTGCTTGTGTGAAAGCAACATGCCAAAGTCAGATGATGTCAAATCAATTTATTGCACTTTAATGAACTTTATTTGAAACTAAAATGTGAAATAAGACATTTGACTTTCATTTCCTGGATCTGACAATATTTGGGCATTTTAAAAATGGATGAGTGGACAGGAGTCGGACCAGGATGGGGGTGTCAGAAGTCAGTGTTTTAGTGGAAGTCAGAGGTAAAACAGCCTGCCTTCAGGAGCCCTTACTCCATAAGGCTTCTGAAGTTGGGTCCTGTGTGCAGTGGTAAGGCCATTTGCTCGCTCAGAAGTTTGTCCATGATGGCGATCTCAGCATCCCTCTTCTCCACCTCGTCTGCGGGCGTCCAGGACATGTCGTGTTGGAGTTTAAATGCACCAAGAAAGGGATGAGGGCAGCTTGGTCCCCATTCCTTCAGAGAGGAGAGGAGAAATGGGTCAGAACAAAGCATGCCATTATCTTCAGGAACATGCGATCAGCTTCCTGTGATGGGAAAACTTGGTTAGGGTAACAAACAACATCACTGTTAAGGCTGATAACCGATATTTGCTGACATTATTGCTTTTAAAAATCATACGATTTTGTATAGAATGAAAATTATTAAGGCTGAATTTACATTATTATGTACACAAAACACACACGTTTACGGTTCTGAGATGATTTCATTCACTGTTCACATGACTAAACAATTACACGTCACCCCCCTCACGCTCTGAAACAGGCAAACAAATGGAGATGAGGTGGAAAAAATATCGGTTATTAATATCGGCCCGGTTTTATTTATCGAACCAATACCGATATGTTAAAAAATGACTAACATCGTCCGATACCGATGCTGATTATTGTCCATCCCTAGTTTAACTTCACATTATTTCCATCAAACCCATGGACCTGAACTTGCCACTGGAGGCCAACATCACAGGCAAGCTGAGTGTCACTTTAAAAATCTATCTTCATTGAGGGAATTCTCCTGAAAGCAAGTTAGATAATCAGGGCCTGTTCATACAGGCAGACGTTACCTTAGGGGAGATGATGGAAAAGTATTCCTGTCCAGAAGGCCGCTGGTACAGGTAATACCTGTTACCTGGCTTCTTCACGATATTGCAGGCAGCGTGGTGGAGGTCAGCATCTCTTTTGGCGTCCGCTAACACCTGGAAGAAATAACCCGCATTAAAGCAACGTATGTGAGTGTTTCAGTCACAACACTGCTCTCTAAAAGGCGGATCTGGGTCTGTACCTTTCTGGCTTGCTCCTGCAGATACCTGATCTGGTCTGCAATCACCACCAGCTTGTTGCAAGCATTGGCTTTTATATAATCATCTCCCTAGGAAACAGTTGTTATTGCTTAGTTATTATGATATTTTCATGCTGATAAACACACACACACACACCTTCTGTACTTGCTGAGCCAGGGCCACCAGATCCATGGGGTCTCCCACCCGGTTAGTCTGATAGGAGCTGACCAGTTCGACCCCACTGGGAGCCGGGCTACTCTCCACCAGTTTCACTGCAACACACACAAACACACACTCGATGATAAACAGATCTGGGTCACATAACTGGGTCCTTACTAACCCACCTGTTAAATTACCTGTGGTAATTTTGTCGGGTTGGTTCGTTAAACTATTCTTCAGGTCCATTTTCTCTTATATTGTTTATCCTACCAACACTTCCCACGGTTACGTTAGCTTCTCACTCAGTTTGACGTTGTGTTTTGTAACTGTCTAAAATTAGTTCCGCATTATTAACGCGGTCCTAGCTCAGCTAGCTCCGCAGCCCCATTTGTCTCGTTTAGATAAGCTAGACTAAGTAGTTCCGGATCATTTACTACGTACTTCCTTTTTGTCTCTTTCAAAATAAAATCTGTTAGGCTTTTGTCAATGTGTGAAAATCTAGATGCTAACTCACGCAGCAGTTTCGCAAGGCTTTTTCTTATCACTAACTAAAGCATGAGCTGAGTCAGCGGACTTCTGACCCCTCGGCTGCTTCATGCACAGCAGTTATTTTGGCAGCGAAAATGTTACTAGTCATCTTCACCCTTTATTTTTTTCTCGGTCAGACTGAGCAGGTTTTGGATTCCTACATTGCAGCCGTGTATGAACACACGGTCATCCTGAATCCGGAGCCTCGCACGCCCTTGTCCCGCCACGACGCCCTTCGACACATGCAAAGAAATCTGGATGTGTACGAGGAGCAGGCTGCCCTGGCTGCCCAGCAGGTAGGCCGGATCAGGGGCGGATTTAGGAGTGAGATCCGGGGCTTAGCCCGATGAGTGGTGGTATTTTTAACATGCTGTGCAAAAAATGGTTGTGTTTATTATACATTTCAACTTTGGGTTTCCTGAGGGTTGAACACCTTCTTCAAATCAACAAAATACACGTAGATTGGTTGGGCAAACTCCCACACGCTTGTCCAGTGTTCCACAGCTAGGACGAAAACCACATTGTACCTCCTGAATCTGAGGTTCGACAATCCGACAGACCCTCCTCTCCAGAACCCCTGAATAGACCTTACCAGGGAGGCTCACAAGTGTGATCTCTCTGTAGTTGGAACACACCCTCTGATTCAATTCAATTCAAGTTTATTCATGTAGGGCCCATACACGACAAGACTCATCTCAAGGCACTTCACAATGTAAACATTGCAGGTGATCCCCCTTTTTAAACAGGGGGCCCACCACCCTGGTCTGCCAATCCAGTGGAACTTCCTGTTATCCACTCAATTTTGCAGAGCAACCCCACAAAATCCAGAGCCTTAAGGAACTCCAGGTGGATCTCATCCACCCCAGGAACCTTGCCACAGAGAAGCTTTTTGACCACCTCAGTGACCTCAGCACCAGAGATTGGAGAGCCAAACTTAAAAGTCCCCGGACTCTGCTTCCTTACTGGAAGACGTGCCGTGGGATTGAAGAGATCTTCAAAGTACTCCGCCAACCAATCCACAAGGTCCAGAGTAGAGGTCAGCAGCACACCATCCCCACTTTAAACAGTGTTGGTAGTGCACTGCTTTCCCCTTCTGAGGCGCCAGATGGTGGACCAGAATCTCCTCGAAGCCTTACGGCTTAACTGATATATATATATATATATATATATATATATATATATATATATATATATATATATATATATATATATATATATATATATCATATGATATATTGTTAGCTTCTGCACAGAACTGTGAAAACAAAACAAGTGCAGAAAACAAAACACAGGCTTTGCACCCTCGATTCGCACTTTGCACAAAGAAATTACCCACAATCCATTGTTGCCTGGGATTTTGAGATGGAGAAGCAAGTGCCCTTTCTAAAATTATGTATTTTCAAGAAAAATATAAAATATTTTATTGTGAACATATATGATTATTTTAAAAAATGAAAAAAAAAATAATAACACACACACACACACACACACATATATATATATATATATATATATATATGTATTAGGAATGTCTATGGAAAATCAAATCTTAAATTTCCTCTTTCGCCCAAAATGAAAGCAGTTCATTTTAAGACAATTAACAACATTTATCTAATATTTATCTGCTCTTAACCCTCTCAGGCTCAAAATAAGTTTTGATAAAAGGACAAACAACTAAGTCCTTCAGGGGTACTTCGGAGTAAAAAAATACTTAATTCTATTCAAAAATACTTTATTAATCCCAGGGGGAAATTAGAGTTTCAGTACACACAGTTCTAAGATCAAACATACATACATACATGACAAGAATTTGTAACTGTGGTCATTCGCAACCCGAGCCGCGCTACCGTAATAGATCAAGAGGGTTTATATGAGGATAGAGTCAGGAGAAGGGAAAAAAAAGGCACTTCAGAGTTACTCTCACCAGAGAGGATAGCTTTGCTATGCAAAAAAACACCTCAGACAGATATGCACACACTTTAGACATTACACAACATAAGTGTCCACTAGGTGGGGAGGTAGGGTTGGGACTCTCCTCACTTCGGTGCATGCAGCCGCATGGAGCAGCGCTTATTACCTCCGTTTGGACAGGGGAGGGAGATAATGGGTTGGAGAGCACATTGACTCCTAGATACGGTTCCACGGCCTTCACCGGTCACAGTCCCGCCCAGGCTGGGATAGGGAGAAGCATTACCATAACGATAGCCACATTCCACATTTCTTCTGAGGGGGGAGTTTTTACTTCAGCCTCACAGGCTCAAGGGCACCAGATTCAGATAAGGATTGTTTTGGGACAGACAGAGATAATTTCCTCTCTGCCTTAGAGTTCTGTTGGTCATCAACCCCTCTGGATTCAATAATGGCGTAATTAATCTATCCCAATCCGTGCTGATCCATCAACAACTCTCTCCTTGACGGAATCCAACTTCTGTGTCAGAGCCTGAATCTCAGCCAAAGTTCCAAGCTTACGACTCATCTAGACAATTATATGAGTTTGTGAGTTCACAGCACGATGCATTCCATCCCTGAGCTCTGGGATTGAGCCAATATTCCTTGAAAGCTCGTTAATTTTCCAGTAAGCCAGGGAACGCTCAGGCCAAACAGCAGGAATCCTGACACCAAAACCACGAATATCCAGGCATCTTCAGAATCCTCTACAGGCAGTCGAGAGAGGCAGATCAAGTTCCCCTGTTTCCTGGAGTCCATGATATACCCAGCTGGCTCTGTCCCAGAGGGGCAACTGGGAGCCCCTTCTCCCGTTCTCATTGTTGAAAATTTTTTGTCAATCGCGTTGAGTGACCAGCTGACCAGATCCATTTTAAATAATTTCCAGTTTCCAGAAAAAACGCAGAAGTGCCCTGCACACAAACAGGACAAAGAGCCTTAGGATAAGAGGGAGGGAGAGGAGAAAAAAAGCATCTGTACTCTCCAAGAGCCGGAAGAATGGAGAAATCAGCTAGGTAGGTTTTAACGTTGCAAATCTGCAACGCCTTTCTCCAGAGGGTTAATGTTTGAGACTAAGATTTAACGTGGGTTGCAATGAAGGTAAATTTCATTAAAAAATCTTTTTTGACAACTTTCAAACATTTTTTTTTTTTTTTTACAAAATTTGCATTCATTGCAGTGCCCTATGATGCCCAGTGAGTTACTTAATAAAGATTTTTTAAAACTACTTTCACAGTAGCTCATAGGGCATCCCAATATGCGTCGCATTGATGATCTCTATCACAGTTTGACAACTAGTTGACCACTTGTGCACTACTGCACACTTCCAAGTGCACTTCGCTGAGGACGAAGGCAGCAGAAAATTTTCTTCTTCAGGGGAGACTCTTGCGGCCTGTATGCAGATTACTCTGTGCAGCTGCACACTCTCTGGTGGATGTCGGTGTGACACGACGAGGTGGAATGGATGGTGCCACTAATATTAAAAGGATTAAAATAGGTTCTAAAACCAAGGCAAGCAGTGCAACCACAAAAGCAAATTAAAAAAAAAAAAGGAATTTATTCCGAAGCTCGTGATGATGATGCCCAAAATGAAACTCTTAAATAAAGTCTGGCTCTGGGACTCAGGGGACTAAGCAGTCCAGTCCGGCCCTGTGTGAGCTCGACAGGGAAGTCTATGGAAAGCCAAAACCGCCGAAATACACCACTTTCCCAACCCGTCTAGTTAAGAGATGGCGAAAAAACGCCGTTTGATGTGTCAAGACGTCGTAAAATACGGCGAAAACTCTCCCAGAACGCCGTACTTGACGCCAGCCTTAACGGTCCAGTAGAACGCCGGAATAAACAACGTTTTTTTCCGGACATTGAACGCTGTTTTTTACGTCACCCTAATCCCAGACGCATTCCCTGTGTGGGTGGCGTAAAAAATCTGCGTTATGTACGGACATTGAACGTCGCTTTTTTTGCCGCTCTGTGACATAAAACGCTGTTTTTAACGCCACTTTGTGACAGTTTTCACGTGTTTAAAATTCAACTTTACTCTCATTTATGCAGAGCCCTCCCCATGGGTTTCTCATCCACTTAATTTAAACTCCAGTGACCCAATGAAAGAAGGGGAGGTTGAGGCAGCACCTAGTCATAGGGGGGGGGGGGGGGGGGGTTCAGGCACATGCGTCCTCAAGACGCCGTCCGGGGTGCGTCTCTGCCTCTAGCTGGCCCTGTCTGCCATCCTGGCTGTCTCTTGAGTTCGTCTGGTCCACGCGTTCCTCCCTTTAAAAACAAAATATGTCCTGCCTGCGTCTGTTCATTAATTGGCAGTCCAGGCAACACTCTGCCACAGGTGTAGATGATCAGGGTGATTACACAGAATGAACACACAATGTTGCACCAAACAACTAAAAACACACCAATAAAAACGTGCACATCAGAAGAGTCGGAGTACCCGGCCCGGAGGGTTACCGGGGTCCCACCCTGGAGCCAGGCCTGGGGTTGGGGCCCGTGAGCGAGCGCCTGGTGGCCGGGCTTTCGCCCATGGGGCCCGGCCGGGCCCAGCCCGAACCGGATACATGGGCTCGTCCAACTGTGGACCCACCACCCGCAGGAGGAACATGAAGGGTCCGGTGCAATGTGAATCGGGTGGCAGACCAAGGCGGGAGCCTTGGCGGTCCAATCCCCGGACAAGGAAACTAGTTTTTGGGACATGGAACGTCACCTCGCTGGCGGGGAAGGAGCCGGAGCTTGTGGCAGAGGTTGAGCGGTACCGGCTAGATATAGTCGGACTCACCTCGACACATTGCATTGGCTCTGGAACCCGAGACCTGGAGAGGGGTTGGACACTCTACTTTGCTGGAGTTGCTCCGGGTGAGAGGCGGAGGGCTGGGGTTGGCTTTTTGTTAGCCCCGAGACTCTCTGCCTGTGTGTTGGGGTTTACCCCGGGGGACAAGAGGGTAGCTTCCTTGCGCCTTCGGGTCGGGGAACGGGTCCTGACTGTTGTTTGTGCGTATGGGCCAAATATCAGTTCAGAGTACCCACCCTTTTTGGAGTCCCTGGGACGAGTGCTAGATAGTGCTCCATCAGGGGACTCCATTGTCCTGCTGGGGGACTTCAATGCTCACGTGGGCAATGACAGCTTGACCTGGAGGGGTGTGATTGGGAGGAACGGCCCACCTGATCAGAACTCGAGCGGTGTTTTGTTATTGGACTTCTGTGCAAGCCGCAGTTTGGCCATAACGAACACCATGTTCGAACATAAGGATGCCCACCGGTACACTTGGTACCAGGGCAGCCTAGGTCACAGGTCGATGATAGATTTTGTAGTCGTATCATCTGACCTGCGACCGTATGTTTTGGACACCCGAGTGAAGAGAGGGGCGGAGCTGTCAACTGATCACCACCTGGTGGTGAGTTGGATCAGATGGCAAGGGAACATGCCGCGTAGACCTGGCAGACCCAAACGCATAGTGAGGGTCTGCTGGGAACGCCTGGCAGAAGAACCTGTCAAGACGGTCTTCAACTCCCACCTCCGGCAGAGCTTTGACCACGTCCCGAGAGCAGTGGGGGACATTGAGTCCGAGTGGGCCTTGTTCCACTCTGCGATTGTCGAGGCGGCTGTTGCTAGCTGTGGTCGTAAGGTGGCCGGTGCCAGTCGTGGTGGCAACCCCCGTACCCGCTGGTGGACACCAGAGGTTCGGGGAGCCGTCAGGCTGAAGAAGGAGGCCTACAGGGCGTGGCTGGTCTGTGGGTCTCCGGAGGCAGCAGACAGGTACCGGATAGCCAAGCGGGGTGCAGCAGTGGCAGTTGCCGAGGCAAAATCTCGGGCGTGGGAGGAGTTTGGTGAGGCCATGGAGAAAGACTATCGATCGGCTCCAAAGAGGTTCTGGCAAACTGTCCGGCGCCTCAGGAGAGGAAGGCAGCAACTCGCTCACACTGTTTACAGTGGGGATGGGGAGCTGCTGACGTCAACTGAGGCTATAGTCGGACGGTGGAAGGAATACTTTGAGGAGCTCCTCAATCCCACCAATGCGCATTCCGAGGAGGAACCAGAGCTGGGAGGCCTGGGGATGGACTGTCCGATCTCGGGGGCAGAAGTTGCTGAGGTAGTCAAACAACTACACAGCGGCGGAGCCCCGGGGGCGGATGAGGTTCGTCCTGGGTATCTCAAGGCTATGGATGTTGTAGGGCTGTCATGGTTGACACGTCTCTACAACATTGCGTGGTCATCGGGGGCAGTTCCTAGGGAGTGGCAGACCGGGGTGGTGGTCCCCATCTTTAAGAAGGGTGACCTGAGGGTGTGTTCCAACTATAGGGGGATCACACTCCTCAGCCTCCCTGGAAAGGTCTACTCCAAGGTACTGGAGAGGAGGGTCCGATCGATAGTTGAATCTCAGATAGAGGAGGAGCAATGTGGTTTTCGTCCTGGCCGTGGAACTGTGGACCAGCTCTATACCCTTGCAAGGGTGATGGAGGGGGCATGGGAGTTTGCCCAACCAATCCACATGTGCTTTGTGGATTTGGAGAAGGCTTATGACCGTGTCCCCAGGGGCACCCTGTGGGGGACGCTCCAGGAGTATGGGGTGGGTGGCTTTCTGTTAAGGGCCATTCAGTCCCTTTACCAGAGGAGCGTGAGTTTGGTCCGCATAGCCGGTAGTAAGTCGGACCTGTTCCCAGTGAGGGTTGGACTCCGCCAGGGCTGCCCTTTGTCACCGGTTCTGTTCATCACATTTATGGACAGAATTTCTAGACGCAGCCGTGGTGTGGAGTGTGTCGAGTTTGGTGGCAGGAGAATCTCGTCTCTGCTTTTTGCGGATGATGTGGTCCTCCTAGCTTCATCCAGCTCTGACCTTCAGCTCTTGCTGGGTAGGTTCGCGGCCGAATGTGAAGCGGCTGGGATGAGGATCAGCACCTCCAAATCTGAGACCATGGTTCTCGACCGGAAAAGGGTGGCTTGCCACCTCCGGGTCGGGGGAGAGGTCCTACCTCAAGTGGAGGAGTTTAAGTATCTCGGGGTCTTGTTCACGAGTGAGGGTAGGAGGGATCGGGAGATCGACAGGCGGATTGGTTCGGCGTCTGCAGTGATGCGGACGCTGAGCCGATCTGTCGTGGGGAAGAGGGAGCTGAGCCAGAAAGCCAGGCTCTCGATTTACCGGTCGATCTACGTCCCAATCCTCACCTATGGTCATGAGCTTTGGGTAATGACCGAAAGAACGAGATCGCGGATACAAGCGGCCGAAATGAGTTTCCTCCGTAGGGTGGCCGGGCTCAGCCTTAGAGATAGGGTGAGGAGCTCGGACATTCGGGAGGGACTCGGAGTAGAACCGCTGCTCCTCCGGATCGAAAGGAGCCAGTTGAGGTGGTTTGGGCATCTGGTCAGGATGCCTCCTGGACGCCTCCCTGGGGAGGTGTTTCGGGCATGTCCTGCCGGCAGAAGGCCCCCGGGTCGACCCAGGACACGTTGGAGAAGTTACATCTCCAATCTGGTCCGGGAACGCCTTGGGGTCCTGCCGGAGGAGCTGGTGGACAAGGCCGGGGAGAGGACGGCCTGGAGCTCCCTAGTTGGGATGCTGCCCCCGCGACCCGGACCCGGATAAGCGGAGGAAGACGAGACGAGACGAGACGAGACATCAGAATAAAAACAAGTAAAACATGCAATATAAAATATAACATTAGTGCAACATCACCACTCTGTGACATCGGTACTACACATGACTTCAAAGCAGTTTTATTTTTAAAACTAAAATAAAGATTCGGGGCTTTTCAGAAAACATTAAGGGCTCGAGTCCAAGTAGCCACCCCCTAACGCCGCCCCTGTGGAAGGGTTTACTGTTAGGAATAATTTTTAGCTCCGTGTGCTTTCAGATGAATCTCATCTAAAATAGAGACTACATTAAAAAGTCCTCATTAAGTTAAATATAAGAAAATTAGAGTCTGTTTGATCGACAGAAAAGTCGTGGATAAGTCTGAACCCTTTTAAGTTTTTTTCGTCCAAGGAATTTTAAGATGATTAAAAAGATTTTAAGATGAATTTTGTGTCTTTGTTACCATTCAGGGTGCGCAGATAATTGTGTATCCTGAAGATGGGATTCATGGGTTCAACTACACTCGTTCATCCATTTCTGGCTACTTGGAGACCATTCCTGACCCCGAGGAGCGCTGGAACCCCTGCATGGAACCGGGCAGATTCAACAACACAGAGGTTAAAGGTCACACGTTTAAATCTGTTCACAGTCTGACATACAGAAGCATACGGATGAGTTTCATCATATCTCTCCCAGGTTCTGCAGAGACTGAGCTGTGTGGCCCGTCGGTACCACCTCTACCTGGTGGCAAACATGGCTGACCTCCAACCCTGTCCCCTGAAGACGGACCCGTCCTCGTCGTGTCCCTCCGATGGACACTGGCAGTTCAACACTAATGTGGTTTTCAAGTGCTGATCGCACCTTAATCAAAAACCTGCTCCAACAGTTTTCCTGTTTGACTCAAGCTTAATGAAACTCTGTGTCACACAGCTCCGAGGGCCTCCTGGTGGCCCGCTACCATAAACACAACCTCTACTTTGAGGAGGCTTTTGATCAACCCCCTCAAGCAGAAATCGCTACGTTTGATACACCTTTCGCAGGAACGTTTGGCCTCATCGTCTGCTTTGACATCCTGTTTAGAGACCCTACAGTAACCTTGGTGGAACAGGTAGAACAAACCCACCAACCTTTCCAGTGCTGTATTCCCTCTGAGCTCCTATTTCTGCTCCTCTTTCAGGGTGTGCGTCAGCTGGTCTTCCCTACGGCCTGGATGAACCAGCTCCCCCTGCTGGACTCCATCCAGTTCCAGCAGGCCTTCAGTCTGGGTGCGAATGTCAGTCTGCTGGCTGCCAACATTCGTAATGATCGACTTATCATGACAGGAAGTGGTATCTACACCCCGTTTTCTTCCACCTACCACCATGCTAGGAGAGGAGACCCAGAGGAGGGCAGGTTGCTTTTGGCCAGGGTGCCAGTCTTACACCCGCAGTGGGTGAGACAGGACTCGCCCACAGCGGATTCTGTAGACACGACTGAACCCACCTCACCATACTCTGGCGTCTGCCACAGGGAGAGCTGTGCTGATCTCCCTCCTCCTCCTGATGCTGCTGCGGTGATGATGTACGACCCGTTTCAGTTTGCCCTCCTAAATGAAACGAGGGGAAAACTCAGCGTGTGCGATGGCGCCTTTTGCTGTCATCTCCAGTATGAGTGGATAGCACACGATAAAAGGAGCGAGCTCTATGCTCTGGGAGCATTTGCAGGAACCCACGTGGTGAACGGACATTATGCTCTGCAGGTACAAACCAGGAATGTTCAAAACAGATCCGTGTAGCTGCAGTCAGACGTTCACAAAAACTGGTGTGGGCTCAAATACCTGCACACCCAGTTCTATTTGGTTAAATGTCTCTTAGTAAGTTGAACCTTGACCTTGTACTCTATAATCATCGAGCTTCTGCTGAATATTAGAGGAAATCTGGTTTCTTGTCTTGACAGAATTTGTTTTTTTTTTTTCGATTGGTGCAACCAAAAGAGTTCACAAGCCAGTATTGTCCCAAGTCCAGAAATGGCGAGGGCTGTGTCAGGAATGGCATCTATGTAAGATCAAAGCCGAACCAAACATGCTAACAAACAGGGATTTTGTTCTGGATTGGTCAAGCTAGCAGTGGCTACCGCCTACAGCAGGGGCGCGGCCCAGAATCCAGCATGTTTACAAGTTTCCCTGCTTCAACACACCTGGTTTTAATCAGCAGGTGATGAACAGACTCCCGCTCAACAGGTGTGCACTATGGGTATCTCCAGGTTTAAGGGAGCCAAATTTAAGACTTTAAGACCTTTTTTAAGGCCACTTTGACCAAATTTAAGCTATTTTAAAAATTAAATTAAGCTATAATTTCCAGCTATTGCCTGGAACTGGTGCTAACCACATTGCGAACGTGGGGATTAACCATCCATTTACCATTAAGCTTACACTTCCCCATGGCGCACGCTCCCACTAGCTTAACCAGCTAATGTGCTCATATAAAATAGCCCCCTTTCACAACCAAATGAATGTATACGGTTCCGCTTACGTCAATATCATATACAAAAAATGTTGAACACCAACTAGAAATTCACGAAAATTTTATAGAAATAAAAGAATCTTGTTTATTGGGTCTTTGGAAATTTAAGACCTTTGGAAACATTATTTAAGGATTATTTGTCATTTTTAAGGATTTTTAGGGCCTTAAATTTGGAAATGCCAATTTAAGACTTTAAGGATCCGCGGATACCCTGTGCACTATATAAATAAACTGAAATGAATTACTGTAGTAGGGAAACAATTGAGGTGGAAGGTGTGTTTGTATGATTTATGGATGCGTTCACTGAGGACATGAAGTTTGTTGGTGTGAGGGTAGATAATGCAGAAGATGGGACTAAATGGAGACAGATGATTGGCTGTGGTGTCCCTGAAGGGCCCAAAGAAAGAAAATGTTCATTTCTGTTATAAACTCGACTTTTTTGAAAAGTCCATTTTTCCTTTTGAGGCTTCGGGAAGCTTCATGTTAGTCTGATTTGTTCAATTTACCTTTGTCGTTGCAAAGTGTAGAAATGTGCTCCAACACCTGATTTGAATCAGCAGATTACCAGGCTGAACCAACCACTGACTCTGGATGGTTGGAGCAGGGAAACCGCTAAAACATGCTGGAAGCAGAGCTCCAGAACCAGGATTGGTTATTCCTGACTTGCTGGTTTTAGGTGGGACCAAAGGTCAGCTTTCTTCTTCGTTGTTCTACCCACATTATGATGCTACCACCACCGTACTTGTTAGGCCTCAGTGATTTCTGGACATTTCCTTCAGCTCAGGGTGTCAGGCAATCTAGTGATCCTTTTTACGCTGGATAGAGAAACCAACAGCTGCAGTCGATCACGATCGTTGTAGAGATGTGGATTCTTCTTAACCTAACGTAGATTTAAGCCAATGTGGATTGGAGGAAAAATGATTTTGTTTTTAAAGTATGAAGAATAAAGAAGTTGAAATGACATCCATGACCTCAGCTGTACCTCCTGCCCACCTACAGGTGTGCGCGGTGGTCCGCTGTGCGGCGCTGGAAGCCAGCTCCTGTGGACAAGAGGTGGAGGAGGCTGAATCTAAGATGGACTTCCTGTTGGAGGCCACGTTTGACACCAGACATGTCTATCCCTCCGTTCTGGCAAGCCGTCTGGTTCTGGAGCATCCTGAGAAACTGGAGAAGGCTCCAGATGGGAGAGTGGTCATGAAACACTCCAGTGTGAGCGGAGGGCTGGTCACTGCTTGTCTGTATGGACGGATGTACCACCTGGACCAGGAATGAACTCCTACTACAGAAAATTCTTGATTCCATTCTGACCGTGGAGACCAGAAAATCAGCTGTTAGACCTTTTCTTCTAAAAACAAAACCGTTTATTCATCTGTTACTCAATCTTTACAAACATTGCACCAAGTAGCATCCAATCGGTCTCAAATTTGCATATTCCTAAAAAGGCAATATTCAGAAATATCTCTCTCTCACACACACACACACTCACACACACTCACACACACACACACACACACACTGCCACCAGTTCCCACCAGACATTAAATAGTTCCAGCACTGCAGAACAACCATCCTGCCCAGGCTGTTGGTGAGGAGACGCCTGGGTCAGATGGACAGCAGCTCCGAGCTCTTGTTTAGTCTCCGTTTCAAATAAATACAAAGACTTCAACAATGACTCTCTCTCCTGCGATCAAAGCAACAGTTGGTTTTTCAGTCATCTACTCAGCCTATTCAATATTTGTGACAGTCGTCGGTGTCACGATAAACCTTGGAGTTAACGGCTGGTCCCATCTTTAGACCATCATGCTAGGACAGAACAAGCCCTCCTGTAGGAAACCCGGTGAAACCACAGAGGAGAGCATCCTGACTCAGTATGAGCTCCCTTAAAGGAAAATACTGGCGTAAGTGTGAAAGGATGCGAGAACACGCTTGAGTTCATCTTGTTTGAACCTTAAGAAAAGTGTCTGCTTTAAATAGACTATTTTTAGATCTTACCTAAAATAACCTAACCTACTCCTCCACGGTTTAGTCTCTTGTCGGTTATTAAGGCTCCTGAGTGGCTGGCACAACTGCCAGAATTATAAGTCTCTGTCCAGAAACCCTCAGTAAGTCTCTGAATCGGAGTCATTCAGTTCTTCGTCTGCAGAGACGGTGGACAGCGGCCGCTCCGGCCTGCAGTACGAGGCGTGATCGGGTCTCAGAGTGGCGGGGGTGTCGAAGGCAACACCTTTGGAGATGTGGTTTGAGATCGGATGATGGTTGACGACGGTCTGAGTGAGAGACAGGGCGGGTAAGGCTGCGATGGTGACCATGGGGGAGGTGGGCATCATGGAGTTGAGGATGAGGGCCAAACAGTCGGCTACGTCCCGATTGGGAGCACAAGCCAGAGCTGGGGTGTAACCTGAGAGTAGACAACAGAGGAGGAGACATTTGACATCACATGTAGGTGGAACTAGTTTGTTCTTAGGCAGGTAGAGGACTGCTGACCGTTCTCGTCCACCGCTAACACACTGGCTCCTTTAGCCAGCAGCTCCTGGACAACGACTGTGAGACCCATTCTGGCTGCTACGTGCAAAGGCCTGCAGGACAGAGACACGTGGTTAAAGACGTCCAATCACAGCTGAGGGGTGGACTTCTCTGGTGGACTACGTACGTCTGGAGAGCAGCGTTGGTGCAGTTGATGAGGTTCCTGTCGCTGATCTTCTCCAGAATCAACAAGGCACTGGTTTCATGACCCTGGGAAGAGCGAAAGGGCTTCAGTTTGACACGCCGCCCGAGTTCAGCATCATTTAAACAAGCACAGACGTGCAGCTGGGCCAGCCTCTGTCCTATTTCAGCACTTTGGGGAGCGGGTTGCAGAAAAGTAAAACCAGCTGTTCAGAAGCTCCGGGTAGGCCGGAAAAAATGAACCGTGGCTCGACATATTAACAAATACATCACAGCTCCTTTGTGTGCAACGCAGCCATGATGCGGAGTGCTCCATCACAGTTTCTCTTGTGGTTTATGTAGCGATGGCTGTCTCGCTGGAGAAGCTGCTGCTATTTTTGCCACGGTTCAGTCCGATTTCAAACTGATCATATCAAAGCAGCAGCTTTCAACACAAAGAACCAGAAGGAGCGTCTTGTTTTTAAGTCATAATGTCAAAAGCCTTTCGTACCTTATTACAAGCTAGATGCAGCGCCGTGTTGTTGTTTACATCCTGCAGAGAGAGATCCGTCTTTCCGCTGCTCACCAGAACCTCTGTAAGACAGGAGTGGAGAGGATTACATGAAAGGGGCTCTGAGACGAAGAGCCTGTGGTATTTACTCAGAACGATGACTCACCCACAGCGTTGGTCTGCCCGTTTAGAGCCGCCATCATCAGCGGAGTCCTGTGTGTTAGTGTGTCAACAACGTTGGCCTGAGCTCCGTGGCTCAGAAGCAGGGACACACACTCCACGTGGTCTGAAAAGGCTGCGGCGTGAAGGGGGGTCCTGAAACAACAGCTCACATTTAGAGTCGGTAAATAAAACCTAATTTAGCATCCGTGATCTTTCTCACCTTTCTTTGGAGTCCGAGGCGTTAACAATAGTGTCACCCAGGGAGTCGATCAACATCTCGGCTACGCCCTCGTTATCATTCATGCTGAAACACAAAACACACCGTCACACACGATTAGATCACATAGGTTCACGTAGACGGTCCAGACAGCTGGTTCCTACACGGCACAGTGCAGCGGGCTGAAGGAGTTGCCTTTGATCTTCCTGAACATCTCATGATCCAACAGCACCTCCACGCATGCATCATACCCTGGAAAAGCAGACCAAGGCCATTACTGAGTGGTGGTAACTCCAGACAGAACAAAGCAGCTGTTGCTCTGTGCTCCTGTACCGTTATAGCAGGCCCAGTGCAGCGGCGTGTAGCCCTGATTGTCAGTCAGGTGTGTGTCAGGGGGAAATGCACCGGCGCTCTGCAGTAGGGTACTCAGAACGCCCATATGACCACAAGCCGATGCCAGGTGAAGGGGGGTGCGGCCGCGGATGTCCTTCACACACACACCGGCCCCACGCTGGAGCAGAGCCTCCACACACTCGTCCTGACCCGTCACAGCCTGCAGGATTGAAGTTACTCTAACAGTGACGATGCTAGAGGGGCCAAACTGCTGAAATTTGTCATTGTTCTAAAGTATGGCTTGGTGCTGTGTGTGACTGTCTGACCCCGCGGTGCAGCGCTGTCCGGCCCCAGCGGTCCTGAGTCTCCACACAGGCTCCCTGGCTGAGCAGAGAGTACACACACTCTGTGTGTCCGCTCAGCACGGCCAACATCAGAGGAGTCCTGCACACGGACAGGAAATGTGACATCACTCAACAGGAAGCGTCAGTGGGATCACGAACATTTGAAAACGGCGTGTCCTCTAAGAACACACACTCACTGTCCACTGGTGTCCTGAGCGTCCACATTAATGTGTTGGTTGTTGTGGCTCATAAGCAGGTGAAGGCACTCTAGGTGGCCGTTCATAGCTGCAGCACACGTGCACTTTGTTAGAGTTTGTCAGGTGAATCACGCTGCTGTCAAGTTTCCTTCAGCGCAGCTGTTCCTACCTGCAGCATGCAACGCCGTCTTTTTATGGATGTAGTCACGGGCCATAGGGGAGGCGCTGTGATGCAGCAGCAGGGACGCACACTCCTGGTGCCCCCTCGAGCACGCCAGGCTGAGGGGGGTTCGTCCATCTGGGCTGCGCACGTCCACATCCAGCAGGGACGCCAGGAGGACCTCCAGGGCTCCACAGTGCCCATGATACGCCTGGGTGGACGAAAGACCCACAAAAAACAACTTTCTTTAAAAATGGTGTTGAGTGGATTTTAGCCGATCAAACCATCATCTAGCAGTGCTAATTGAACAGCCTCAGTTTGAAGAAACAGATTATCGCTGACTGGACAGATGCGCTAACAGCTAGTCACAATAAAGCCATTCTGAAAATAGCTTAAACTCTAAAAATCAAGTCTTTATACAACTAGAAGTCTCACATTTTAGGGCCATGTGCCATGGCTAGCTAGCTAGCTCTGCTGCCAGTTTCTACTGTAAATATTGTCGGTTGGTTTAAATAAAACATTTGCATGATCCAACATTAGGGCTGCACGATATTAGGAAAATCTGCGATATTCGATAACAGTGCTTAATATTGCGATATCGATATTACTCACGATAAATGAACAAATACTAAAGTATGCAGTGTTGATGTCGTCTGGCGTGTGACGTCTGCTCTGGGCTCAAAGCAAACAAAAACTAATGCATGAATTCCATTACAACATAACATTTTTATTGCAGAAACATGCAGCTGCACCTGCTACTGTATTAGCAGCTGCACCTGCTACTGTATTAGCAGCAAAACAACAAGCTGCATGCATGCAGTTTCTCAGTGACTTTAAAACATCACCTCCTCCATAAAACTTTTTCTGATGCTCCAAATACAGAAAAACATCCCTTACCAGGGTTTTTAGAATAAATAAAAACAATCAGAAAATTAGTTTAAATGTTAAATAGCAAATTCTCTCATTGCTACTGAGCATTTTCTCCACTTATGTGGTTATGATATAAGGCTGTTGCTGTAATTGGGAAGTGAACTGTGCTGGGCCAAACTAGGAGAACATTAAGATTTTTTGAGGGAAAGACAAAAACAATTGTCTACCTTTCAGAAGAGGAACTGGCAAAAAACTACATGGAAAATATGTGGAAATGTTTGTTTTTAACCCCAAATTGAACAAGTTTACCTAGATCTTAAAAAGCAGCTCAGATGATGAAACTGCAACTATGATTCTGATAACAAGCTAACAAATTGAGCTAGCTCCTCTAAGATAACCGGCTAGCAGATCTTCTGACTGACAGTTTATGTGCAGCAGCAAATCAACTATCCTGATTAACAAGGTTATAAAAGCTCATAAATGAAAAATCACTTTGATGTGTGGGGGAACTTTTCCAGGCCCTCTTTAGCAGAGTGGGACTGGGAGGAGAGTGCTGCTGTAGCCTTTTAGCTGGAAGCTAACCGGAGCCTGGGGCTAATGGTGGGCTGGTTCACCGGCACGTGTCGGAGTCAGCCCTGTTACTATCAGCTGCTTAACGACACAGAGCGGACTCGCGTTCACGTTTGAAAGCAGAGCTGATTCCAGAAGCCTCAGCACAAAGTGCGTTCGTTAATCTGAGCCAGCATGACGAACAAGGGAAGCCGCGCGAGCGGCAGCGGAAAGCGGGGGCGGAGCGGAGCGGAGATAGTGGAATTTTGGGGTAAGGGTTTACATAGGGGGCGGGCGTATTACGTGAACGGACCCATCTGATTAGCCGCATATCAGAAGGGCTACATTTGGTTGGTCAAATAATACTTCCTCGTAAAAAACAGAGCTGGTTTACAAAAAGGTGATGTATGACACGGATGGAAATGTTTGAACCAAACATTTATCGCCATTTTTAACGTGCTTTGCGATGGGCCTATCGCACGTCCTGTTATCGCGATGACGATAATTTTTCGATATATTGTGCAGCCCTAATCCAACATGACATTTATTTTAGATTAGAGCCGTTTCAAGACTCAGGCGTGCCTTTTAGAACTGGCCCCACTGTGACTAACCACTAGCGCTATTTCTCCAAACTGAGGTTGTCCACAGAGCCATCAGCAACATGTAAGGCGTTATTAGTTCATATCCGCTCCACGCAAACTCACCAGGAAATCTAAACTGTAAAAAAGTAACCACAGAGCTCTGGATCTGAGACACAGAATAAAGAAAACAAAGCCTCACCGCCAGATGGAGCGGACTGAGGGGGGCCTGGCTCTCCACGTCTCTCAGGACTTCTGCTCCCGATGTCTCCAATAACTGAGACACAAAAACAACATTTTACTCATTTCGTATCCAGATTTTCCCTCCTGTTTGTTTTTCAGTCAGAGGGTTTGTTTGTTCCTGAAGACGTTCAGAGTCACCAGTGGCTGTATCACCAGGACCGGGCCGGTGTAGCTCTGTCTGACTGTGACTGTAAACATGTAAAAAATGCATAATTTCTCACCACATCAAGAGGTCTCACACTTGCAATCTGAAAAATAAAAACACACTTTAGGATCTCTCGAGGATGATTTAGTTGTCAAATCATATAAGCGACTGTAGAGACTGTCCTCACCAGCTCCAGACAGAGAGTACGTCCATAAGCCGAGGCGTAGTGCACGGCGCTGTAACCCTGTTTGTCTCTCACTCCTGGATTAGCATCATTCCTCAACAGGTACTCCACACATCTAACAAACACCAAAATGATGTCTATTTCCTGTGTTCAACACCAAAGCCTTACTCTGATATTGGGTTAAATACCAGCATGAACGTACTTTCCCTCCGTGTCAGCAGCAGCAGCGTAGTGCAAGGGGCTGCAGCCTCTCTGGTCCAGCTCATTCACACTTGCTCCAGAACCAACCAACGCAAACACACACTGGTAGTTACAGTTGGCTGATGCATAGTGCAGCGGAGCCCTGCAGTGATCAGTCAAGCATTTCTAGCTGCGACGGCACCACTGTGTCATAAATCTGGGTATCATTATGGGATGTGACCTTACCTTCCGAAGTTGTCCTTCCTGTTGAAGTCTGCTCCGATGTTTAGCAGCAGGTTCAGACACTCCAGGTTTCTGTTAGAAGAGCAAACATTGAAAACATACAAACAAGAGCCAAGTGATAAACAAAGCAAATATTTCAGAGCTTTTCTACACACGACACAAGAAATCCAACCGATAAATGCATTAATTCTAAGAAAAATACAAACAAAGTCAAAGTATTCACCCTCCAGCTGCAGCAGCATGCAGACAGGTCCTCCCAAAGTCATCAGGGGTGTCGATGACAAACCCTGCACAAATATGCAACCAGCATCAAGCTATGCGTCAGCCAGCTGGTTCTACTGGCAGTGATGGCGTCAGCGTGAATGTACCTGAGGACAGCAGCTTCCTGCAGCAGTCTGAGAAGCCGCTGAGAGCTGCCAGGTGCAGGGGCAACATCCCATGAACGCCTCTCCTAGGAAGGCAAAGGCAAGCTAAAACAGGCCAGAGGGGCTAAACTGTGTGAATCCCAAACAACGCCTACATGTGAATTATTACTGACTTGACCATGCTGGCTCCATGTTTGATGAGTGCTGTGATGATGAGCTCATGGCCAAAGCGAGCAGCGATGTGCAGGGCAGTGTTTCTGCTTTTGTCCTCACCGTCCACGTCAGCTCCTAGACAGGTGAACACAGAGCACCAGTGTAGATGCCTTTAAAAAGACCAATCATCCAGAAAATAGACAGCTGAATCCGGGGGGGGGGGGGGGGGGGGGGGGGGGGGGGGGCTCACCATTCTGAATGAGGGTCTGGGAGCAGGAGAACCTTCCGTGTGTAGCTGCCATGTGAAGGGGGGTTTTCCCGTCTTTACTCTGAGCAGGTAAATGAGAGGATAAACAGGCTGGTCAGCGTCAGATATTAGAGATCTAACGGAAACTAAAGCTGAGATAGACCCCTGATGGAGCACACACACACACACACACACACACACAAACATAATCCCAGAGCAGCTTGCAGCCTTGGGCAGCCCCTCCTCTCCCTTAAACTTCCATATGGCCTCACGTCTTGAGGCTGTGGAAAACCCAGCTTCGGTTTCCAAAGTGTTAAACAAGCTGTCGTGTTGGTGTTGCTGCTGAACCCCGAGCTGGAAACATGGATGCTGAAATGCTCATTTCTGTCTTCCATACACATGTATGTATATATATATATATAAACACACACATCTACACGTGGTCACACCTTCAGATTGATGTGTGCTCCATGAGCCAGCAGCAGATCCTGGCACAGCGCGCCCTGACGAGAGGAAGAAGCGAAGTGGAGAGGAGAGAAACCCCTCTCATTCACCTAAAGACACAAAATCCAACAAAACCATTAAACCCAGAATAAAAAGGTCCCGCTGCAAATGTAGATGGTATCTCTGACCTGGTTGACACTGGCTCCTGCCTGGATGAGTTCACCCACCACCACGTCCTGCCCGTTGTAACAGGCCAGGTGGAGCGGTGTGTTTCCATAAGCGTTCACCTCATTCACCTACACAAACACCAATCCCTTAGAAGCTCCAGCATGTTGGCTTTAGCTTGGGTACATTTCACATATATACACATTTTATTGACGCGTGTGTCTGTGTGTGTGTGTGTGTGTGTGTGTACTTGTCTATATTACATACTGTGGACCAATGGCACATTTCCCAACTACAAAGTGAAGACATTTCAGTCTGGTTACCATGGTTACGGAGCTCTACTAGTTGGTTTTAAAGGTGTGGTGTGCGTGAAGTTCTAGTTAAGTTCAGGAATGGACCGGTAATGGTTAGGGTAAGTCGGAACTTTTTACCAGAACTTCCAGGCGGGCCGAACGGGCCATTTTCAGGAACCAACGGAAAGGCCCGGTGGAGTTCCTGAGCAGGTAACTCACGCTGATTGGTTGTAACTCAGTAGGAAATGACATCAGCAGTAATCGTCCAAAACAAGTGGCATTAGTATAAATGAGTTGCTGGTGAAGCAAAAGCAACTAAGCGCCAATCGCGTAGCTTTAAAATCGCAGTTGCTAAACTCCCGACACCGAAAACAAAATGAAGTTCTCCACAACGATGCAACTCGCAGTCGGAGAGCACTGGAAAAAACGGCGCTTCTTCTTGTCGTTAAACGCCACATTTCACATGACACATTAGCTCCCCCTAATGGACTCAATTACACCGGACTTTGGCAGAATTAAACTTTTACAGTTATTAAGGACCACGGACGCTGTTTGGCGCTGATCAGTGACATCACTCACCTCTGAAGCAGTGGCGATTTCTGAGCAAATTCCTGAAAGGCTGAATTTAAATGGAGGCACAACAGCTGAGAGGACCCGCTCAATTTCCCCCTCCCAGAATTTGTTCTGAAGTTCCAACTTTGGAAACACTCCTAATGATGATCATCACTACTGACGAGACGAGAACGCGCGCACGCGTGTGTGTGTGTATGTGTGTGTGTGTGTGTGTGTGTGTGTGTGGGTACTGACATGGACTCCCAGACTCAGCAGGTAGTGAACGGTGCTGCTCATGCCGCTGGAGGCGGCTGCGTGAAGCGGGGTGTACGCCTTTTTGTCCTTACAGTCCACTTCCGCTCCACTAGATACCAGCAACTTCACAACCTCCAGGTGACCTGATGCAAAGGAGAGAAAAATCCTTTTAATTCACAACATAAACCAAGAGTCAGAGCGACCGCCGTTTCACCCATCGGTCTCACCCATGTAGGCTGCCCAGTGGATGGCTCTCCTGTCCTTCTTGTCAAACGCATTGATGTTGGCTCCTCTGGACAGCAGCAACTTCACCATCTGACACATAATTATCTCGATTAAAAACACGATCATATACGAACCCTTTTTGCAGAAAAGTGGGAAGTTTTAGCCCTAATTGAAATTTGTAATTAAGTTTAGAAACTTTATCAGTTTTGTAACGGTCAGAAACGGTAAACACGACAACGTTCGAGGAAAAGAAAGAAACCTAATAGCTAAACGCTGATTACGAAAAGCCAGTTATGAAACATTCAACAAAGCCTGACGCTCCTGCAGAAAACTAAACCCTGAAAGGCACCTCAAGCTGTTTTATGCAAAAATCTATCTTTACATCAACTCTGCTCAAGCATCCAGCAGAGTTCTCGGGAAACAAGCTCAGCAACAGCAGAAACCTGTTTTAGAGGTGTCCATATTCCTGCCTGTTTAAAAACAACCACAAGTAAAGACCATCCAAGCTGTAACCAGCTGAAGCTTCTCAGGTCCATCCATCCATCCATCCATCCATCTATTTTCAGACATGGAGTTGGGTCACGGGAGCGGCAGCTTAAGCAGAGAGGCTCAGACTTCCCTCTTCCCAGCCACTTGGGCCAGCTCTTCCGGGGGAATCAAGGCGTTCGCTGCCCAGCTGAGAAACATAGTCCCTCCAGCTTGTCCTGGGTCTTCCTTTGGGCCTTCTTCTGGATAGACATACCCAGAAAACCTCACCAGGGATGCGTCCAGGAGGCATCCTAACCAGATGCCCGAGCCACCTCAACTGGCTCCTCTCGATGTGGAGGAGCAGCGGATCTACTCAGAGCCCCTCCCAGATGACCGAGCTTCTCACCCTATCTCTAAGGGAAAGCCCAGACACCCTGTGGAGAAAACTCAGCTATTTTCGTGCTTTTGGTCACTACCCAAAGCTTGTGACCATAGGGGAGGGTAGGGACGTAGATCGACCGGTAAATCAGCTCTCTCCTCACCACGACAGACCGGTACAACGCCCGCAGCATCAATCCACCTATCGAAGCTTCTCAGGTCCAACATAGACACCGTGTGTATGTGAAGGTTTTTTTCATGTCAGTAATAACTTCAGAAGGAAGACATAAACTAGTTTTAAGTCAGTAAAACAAATTAAAAACAATCTGGCTGTAAAACACAGAAGATGTTTATTTATTTACTTTTACTGTTGTTTTGTTTGTTATTTCAGTTTTAGCTTCATTTTAAAAAAATCAGTTTTTATTCTAACATTCTTGTTTGTCTGTGAAGCTGATGTGTTAAAGACAAACCGGCATACCTCGACGTGTCCGCTGAAGGCGGCGTGGTGCAGAGAGGTGCGTCCCGCCCGGTCGGAGACATTGACGTTGCTCAGATGTGGGACTAAAGCCTCGGCACAGCGCACCGCCTTGTTGCTAGCTGCTATGTGCAGCGGGGTCTGCCAGTTTTTGTCCCGGGCGTTCACATCTGCACTGTGCTTCAGCAACACCACCACTGCATCCTGCACACAAGTGAGCGAGGGTCAGACCGTGCAGGCCGAAAGCGCACAGGGGAACATTTATGAGAGCTCTGAGCACACGCCGGTGTTTGCAGGTGTCTCTTGAGTCAAAAAACTCCTTAAGGGGCTTTGATGATGAAAACAGAAAGTGAAGAACACGAGTGGCTGTGTTTTTATGGGCACACTGCCCAGGAACAAGAACACACGGACAGACATTTGTTACCTTTTAAAGACAGACATCGGTGTGATTATTAGTCAGAGATCAAAGATATCCTCACAGCTGAACGTGGGATTTATTACCCACATCACTGAGAAATGGGCTTAGCTTTTATAATAAAGCTTCCACATTTCACTGTTGGTAGCAAATACATCAGCTGAACCACCAGAAATGCATCTACCTCGCTACAGGAGGCCACGGCTCGGTGGAGAGGAGTCAGCCACTTGTTGTCTTTGGCATTAACTCGAGCTCCTTCAATAAGAGAACAAACAAGACACAATCTCAGTAATATGCCATGTTTACAGATTACACGTATAACATGTTAAAGCGCCCAAGCAGACAGGTCTGCATTTTAAATGTTTGTCCTTTAAGATGTGATAAGAAATTAATAAAAATGAAGGCGATTAGAAATCTAAAGAAAAACCAAACAATGCAAAACTTTTGACTAGTAATCAGAAAATCTACAGAAAGTGTGCAATAATTGTTTAAACTAAATTAGGCAGGTGCATACGTTTGGGCACCATAAAAAATAAATGACACCAATATTTAGCAGATCCTCCTTTAGCAGAAATAACAGCCTCTAAACTCTTCCTGTAGCTTCCAATGAGAGTCTGGATTCTGGTTGAAGGTATTTTGGACCATTCTTCTTTACTAAACATCTCTAGTTCATTCAGGTCTGATGCTTCTGAGCATGGACAGCTCTCTCTAACTCACACCACAGATGTTCAACAACATTCAGGTCTGGTGCTGAGAAGAACATTCCAGAACGTTCTACTTGTTCCTCTGCATGAACGCCTTAGTAGATGCTGAGCAGTGCTTAGGGTCGTTGTCTTGTAGAAAGATCCAGCCCCGGTGCAGCTTCAGCTATGTCACTGATTCCTGGACATTGGTCTCCAGAATCTGCTGATACTGAGTGGAATCCATGCGTCCCTCAACTTTAACAAGATTCCCAGTCCCTGTACTGGTCACACAGCCCACAGCATGATGACGCTATTTTAGGTTTTGTGTGAAAAAACGTCCAGGACTGCAAATGTGCTTCACGAAAGTGACGTCATCGAACCAGAAACGGAGAAAAACAGAGGGAAAATGGCTGTAAGTTCAGCGAACTTCAAATCCTTCCTTCAGGAAGAAAGAACCACCACAAATCTGGCCATGTGGTAAGTAGCAGCTACGCTAGGGGAGATTCTGTGGTGACGTCACACATGCGACGTGCTGATGTCTGATTTGTAGTCATGCTAACAGCAAACTTTTACAAGCTGATGAATCTAATAGTTCGTGACTCGAACGTGGTCGAAACACGCACCATTAGTTTCCAGGGCGTAGGGCAAAGCGGATTAGAAAACAGCCGTTTTAGCTTCGTTGACTTGCATTCATTTTGTCATTCTTTCTGGCCGACTGAGCCGACCGGAAAGGGAGGAGACTTAAGCCTGATTCATGCTTCTCCGTCAACTCCAACAGGGAGAGACACGCACGCACGGACGAAGATGTTTTGCTCTCATACTTCTCCGTCTCCTGGGGAGTGTTGCAAAGCAATTCCCCACCAGGACAGCAGAGGGCGTAGCGCTGTTCTGTGGTATCCTGTCGTGTATCCGGTCCAAGATAGTGTGTTTATATTGTGTTTTTTTGTATATAAGAGACGTTTTAACAGAAAAATTTGTCTCTCATCCTCCACCTCCTCATGCGCTCGCCACCTCTAAACCCACGTTTCCTATCAATTCCATCCACAAATAAAACGCTTGCTGCGCATCTTTTCACTCCTCCAGTCACGGGGAATTAAACGTTCACGTTTTTAGAGTTTTTTCGCGAGGTATTCTTCAAGCTGCTCCGTGTCTGCTACTAGTTATCCTCGGCTCTCTTTATGTTTTTGAGGGCGCGATGGCGGCGGTGTAGACGACAGCGGCGTCCTGACCAATCACAAGCTTACGTTGTCCGTCTCGACTGACGGATGTTTAGAAAAGAGAGCTCGACTCCGTGCGTCCTTGCGGAGCTCTCCGGCAGGCACGCAAGGACGGATGATGGCGTTGCGTGTCTCCGCACTGACGCAGACGGAGAAGCATGAATCAGGCTTAAGGCTCCCTACTCACCTGTGTATGGAGGTCAAAGGTCACTGAGATTACCAAACCAACGTTTGAGTTCCAATATTGAGTTCTGAAGGTTTATGAATCAATGAAATGACAACAGTGCCCAAATGTACACACCTGCCTAATTTTGTTTAAACACTTATTGCACACTTTCTGTAAATCCTATAAACTTCATTTCACTTCTCAATGATCACTGAGTGTCTCCTACATGGTACACTTAACTTACATGGGTGTAACAACCACCCATTTATACAGGGAAATCATGAAGATTTACAAGGCTGCCTAAACTTTTTGCATCCAACCGTAGCAACTGGAAAACACTAAATACTGTACTTGGTGTTAAAATAGCCCTGGAGTTGCACCTGTTGCTCCTAACAACCCTGAGAAGCGCGCGACACATTCTCACACACACGGTCACTCCACTCTGGTTTGTGATGGGTTTGTTTAGGCCCCTCCCCCTCATGTGCTTATGTCATTTCAGAGCCAAAACGGACCTGTCGTGTGATCAGTACATAACAGGAAGCGTCACAGCTGTGATGAGCAGGTAGAATCAGAGCAACACGAGAAATTTACAGAAAAGGGGAGTGAAGAGCTGCATTTGAACGGAACGAGGGATGATTATGAGTCACTAAAGTGCTGAAGAGTCTTTTGCTCTTTAAAGAATTAATTAGCTTACTTTGGATTTGACTTTTAAAGAATTTTAGGGACAAATGTTCCGAGATTAACTAATAGTTTGGTTATTTATCTTTTAAAGGTCCTTTAAAAACAAAAATCATTTTGATCTTGACAAAAAAAGATTTGAAACATCAAAAGTAAACGGAGCAGGGTGAGAAAAGCACAACATAGATGTGATAAGTGCACGAAGAGGAGCTAGATGTTACAGTAAGTTTCTAAAAAGCTATTAAAGGTGAACAATAGTGTAGTCTGAGGGCTAGGATGACTGATAAATTATAATTATAAAAGCATGACTGATGTTCACCTGAGAGGACGAGCAGCTCGATGATCTCAGCGTCTCCCAGGTATGCTGCAGCATGAAGTGGCGTCCGCTTTTCATTGTCCTGGGAAACATCACAATGACAAACACGGTTCACACACACAAACCATCAGTAACACCAGCTCCATCTGTAGAATCGCTGGTGCAGACCACAGGAAGCACAAGATGAAATCCCTGTGGAGTAAAGCATCTCATCTCTTCACTTCATCGAGTCTAACCACCCTGCTGCATCTTCTTCACCCCCCATCTCAGTGCAGTAGAGTAATCAGCAGAGTGGGGCTATAAACAAATGTCACATGGCTCTAAGAAGCCAGGCCGGTGTTGCTGACTCCGGGGAGAGTTGGTGTGATGAATCCAGCAATGCAAACAGAACAGAATCAAGTATAAACTGAGAAAATATTTACAGAAAGAATAAAAAAGCAGAATATCAGGTGAATGTTATGTCCTTCAACATTTGAGAGGCTGCAGTAACCAAAACAACTCGTGTGTCCTGCCTGAGCTTACAGCTGCCAGGAAGTAGGAACCCGGCACTAATCTGCGATTGTCCCATAGTAAGAGAGCAGAAAAAAATAATCATGAAAGAAATACCTGAATGTTGACATCTTCCTTCTTGAATATGAGAGCACGGACTTCATCTGGGTCCACATTAAAGATGGCCCTCAGCAGGGATGGCTTCAGAAACACAAAAACAACACCTTTGATTTTAAGGCTGTCTCATTCTATAATCAGTCACAGTTAGAAGGGCTACAGACAGGAGTGTAATCCCAGGCTGGGACGGAGCCATAGGCCACACGCAGCCCTTTGTCACCTCTCTGTTTAGGAGAGCTGGATCTGCACAATGCAGCACATGAACACGTGTGTGCACAGTTACATAAACCCTTGAGTCTGTCCGAGAGCCCTAAAGATCACTGAAAAAACACATTTTAATGATTATTTCTGATTATAATCAGTCACTCTGAGTTTTTCATGCAGGCTGAACATGAAAATGGTCTCCTACACCTATCTCCTTCTGATGGAAAATAAATGGTGAAACTCTTGGATTAGAAAAGCCTGACAGATCTATGTCACGCTGTCTCTTTACGCTCAAAGACGACCGACTGGGAAGGCTGCTGTTGGTTTAGCATCCAGGAAACAGCAGGATCACATCGGCTAGCAGATGCTAACCGTTACCATTAGCAACTCCACCACAAAGCAGAAATCCTCCAGGCTTGTGTTATTTGTGGAGACAAAACATCAACGTTGCAGAACAGAGTCAGAGGTAGAGTTGTGTTGCTGTTAGCCAATCAGAGGGAAGATGCTCAAAATGTCAAGAAATAAGACTCCAGTTGAACTCTCTAATGCTGATACAGGCTTATTAACATGGACTTACTATGTAAAACATGTTAACGTGGAACACACCATGATGAGAGCACAGTACTGCCAAAACACAGAATACTACAATAGTTTATCACTGCAGTCGTGACAATCCTGCATGCAAATAAAACAGCAAAGACTTTGCACAGAACCGGTTCTGTTACAAAATAATGCAGTCAAACACAGGAAAATAAACACCACAGCCGTAAATCATTTGTTAGTGTGACTAAGATTATAAAATCCCACTTGTCCCTAAAACCAGTCTCTTAGTGGGCTTCAACTGCAGGCTGTACAATGTAAACATTTGACAGATTTGACAGAGTTCTCCACCTGAATCACAGGATCTCACTCTGCTGTTGTTGGAATTCTGTAAACAACTGAAATTCCCACAACACATTTCTTCTTGGCAGGTGTCTGGAACACATTTGGAACCTTTAATTGGCTTTTGAGAGACAGAAAGTGCAAGAAAGTGAAGCAATTTTGGGAGAGGTTATGATCATATTACAAGTTTTTGTAACCCTGCAATATTGAAATATCTAGGAATTTTAAATAGATGATATGAATAAAACTTTAAGTTATGACACAGAATAAATAAAATGTACCTCAACTGTACATAAAACACAAACGGGTTTGTGTTCAACAAGACATTTAACCCTCCCACTGTCCTAATGGGTGTGACCCCGCGAGGAATGTTGACCATTGAGCAGGGTTGATGGTTTATCCCATGAGGTCCACGTGGCAGGGGTGAGGTGGTGCTCACTCCTCACTCCTGCCACATGGACCCAAGGGATAAACCATCAACCCTGCTCAATGGTCAACTTTTCTCGTGGAGTCACACCCATTAGGACAGTGGGAGGGTTAAAGGGAGACTAGGCAGATTTGGCTTGCTTTCAGCACCCCCTAGTGTTTGTTTGTAGAATTGAATGCAGAGCTTATCTCCTCGCTGTGCGTTTGTCTTTTTAACACCTCAATTAACAACTGAAACATCTCCTCTGCCTTCCTCAGTGTCTACAGGAGTAATTCATCACTAAATTAAACAAATCAGCTGTGTTTGTGATCTACAGCATGCAGGAAACGTGCTGAAAGCAGACTGCAGCGCCAGGTAAGTCAGCTCAATTTTTAAGACCCAACAGAGCGGGCCCGCCAGTCCGAAGATGCAAGTGGAATATTCTGGCCACGGGGGCGACATGGGCTGGGTGGCCTTTCATTAACCCTATAAAAAACCTACGATGTGACTATAGTGCACACGTACATATTGATGTGGATGTACAAACAGATAATCGATCAGCTTTACTACATTGCAAACGAAACGAGAACTAATAAAGTCACACTGGGACAAAGATGACAATGGCAAAGAAGATTTTGAAATGTATCAGTTTGTAAAAATTCGTAATTAGCATGACTACAAATCAGGTGTTGGAACATCGCATGTCACCACATCATCTCCTCTCCTCCATTGTCGCTGCTAATGGTGGGTCGTTCTTCCTGAACAAAGGATTCAAAACTTGCTGAACTTACAGCCATTTTTTCTTCTTCTCCTCTCCATGTCTGGTTCAATGACGTCATTTTGGTGACGTACATTTGTAGTGCTGGGGATGTATTTTCACACAAAACCTAAAATAACCTGTGCCCCTGTTTGAAAATAAGCACCGTCTTGGCATCAGAATGCGTCTTTGGGGGCATTTTTAGCCCCAATGACTTGCATTCATTTTTCGTTCTTCCGAGGACCCGTGGTCCGAAAGAGGATGGGCATGACTTAGGCTCCCTATTGTCTCGTTTCAGCTTTCACGCTAACGCCGGGAGCGGAGGAAAAGGAAACTGCATCAGAGATAGGTCTGAGTCGACAGCGCTCACATTTTTCATCATGACTTTACTATTTATGAACTTATTAATCAAACTTTTCTCCATCATGAACCTAATAGTGACATTTGGCCTAAAGACATCGCAGAGAGTTTGCCAGGAGAAAGTCATTCAGCTACTGTTGAAAACAAATTAAACATGACACTTTTGCCTATTACTAGCTTAAATTGAACAGATAATGTTTAAAGCTTAAGCATGCAGGATAGGAGGGAGATGTGACGTTAGCAACCTAAATGATTTATTTTTCTATTTTATTAGGGGTGACCCCCGCATATATCATTATTGGTTTATTTCAGAATTGGAAATTAAGAGTTAGACAATATCAGATATTTATTTAAAAAAAGCCAAAATCATGCATCCCTAGCTATTTTCTCTTCTCTTGAGTTTAAACAATGTAGAATTTTTTGTTTTCATCACATTTAGCTCGTATTTTATTAAAAGTATCTTCATCTTTATTGACTTTATGATATTTTTTGTGTTGCATTGTTTGAAGAAAGAATCATATGACAACGTAAAAAATATGACATGTTTTGTACTTTTTTTAACATTAGTTTTGAACATTAAATATTATTTAAATGGCATTGTTCACTTTTTCTGAAGTATTTGTTTAGAGCCATGACCAATCACAGATGATGGGAAGTATGAAAGAGTCTGGCGATCCTTGAGACTCTACAAGCGAAGATCGCAAACAAAAGCAAGGCTGAGAGGAGAAAGTTAGCAGTGAAAAGAGCGGACAATAACAGTGGCATCAAAGCTGCATCAGCACTACGTTGAGATATATCTGTCACAAAGGACAAATGAACAAATTCAGTGTGAAAGTTTACAGAATTCCCACAATGTTGTGTCTTGAATTAGCTTTCAGCAGTTGCAGCCAAGTGAGACCCTGGCCTTAAAACCCCTGTCGCTTCTCAGTTAATATTATTTAAGAAATTTTATTTATCACTTTTTTAAAGTATTGTAAAGTTTACTCAGTATTAAAAAGGGCTTAAATCTATTCAAATGAACAAAAGGACAGCGAGAGAAAAGATTGCTGATGTAACTATGCTGATTCTTGGGAATTGAGAGTCAAATTTCAAAGGCCTTTTGAATTCCGCAATGTTTCCATTCACTCTTTAGGAATACTTCATAGGCCTCTGAAGCACCATGCCTCACCAATGAAACGTTTCATCCTTACAGACCCTTCCGCTAAATATAATAAGTACAAAGTCAGATCTGTGAGGAGTCACATAACATCCACTCTGTTGCGGATGCTGCCTTGTTTCTGGCCAAAAGGTCTCTCGGATTAGTGATTATAAACTGGTGGGTTCTGACCAGCTAAGAAGCAATGTCTCAGATCAACATGAATATGTTTTCCACACTAACAGCATCTCATTAAGATCTTCTAAAACAAAGAGGGAAAGATGACACAGATCTGTAACTCTGAACATAAACCCTGCCATCAGATCCATCTGATCTTTGGCTTTATCTCTTCTCAGCTGTTTCCACAAAATAAAACAACAAAGGCTGACTTGAATAAAGACGCCATCCCAGAAGATTCTAAAGACCCGACTTATCTGTTAAGCTTTACAAATCAGGAGTCTTCTCTTATACCCCGACTACACTTGTGGTATTTTTAGTGCTAGACGACAGGTGATGGTAGTCCATTGTAGTTATAAAGTAGGACATGTGCAACTGCAGCACATGTATAAACTTCACTAACTGTGTGACAAATGCACTGATAATCCCACTGAAGGGTTTAATTAATAAAACCCAAAATGCACCTGGAGCATGTAACGAAGGTAAACTGCAGTTTAGTGCCTCTCTCACCTTGTCATCCTGAGCAGCAGCCCTTCCAGACACATGATGACATCTGCGATCAAAAGATGAATTGTGCATCGGAGGAGGTGATGAAGAAGAGCTCTCATCTTCCTCCACCTCCTCCAACACCACAATGCACACACGGCTAGCCCGTTCTGACCGCATCAGGAACAGACACTCGTGCAAAACACACACACACACTCACTCACACACACACACACACACACACACAGATACACAGTGTTCCTTTCTACATATGTGCGCAATCCCATCGCACAAAGGTCAGCAACAAATCCCACAAACAGTGTTTTCCACAGAAATCAACACAGCACATCCTTGTTTTAAATCCCAAGAGAAATCCGGCTCTGTCCTCTGTCAGTGTGGCTTTTCAGCTCGTCTCCTCTCCTCCTCGCTCTAGCCCACGCTCTCACTGTATGCGAGCACCAGCAGCAGTGTAGACAGCAGGGAATTCCTCTGCGTAATGGTGGCGGTAAGAGGCATGCGGCAGACTGAGCGCGGACTGCCCGGCAGCACACAGGAAGCTACATATCCTCACTGCTGAGCTGCAGCCAGGAACACACGCAGACCCTGTGATCGGTCCGGACGACGCTACAGAACCCAACGTATGTGTGTGAGCGCATCGCTCGATCAAGGCAGACTGCTGAAGCCAGCTCTTTCAAAAAAACAGGGGAGGCAAGAGGGAGGGGATAGGGAGCTAAAACGAAAGAGGGAGACAGAGAGAGACAACTGTAGACAGGTAAGCTCTAAGGGACACAAAAAAATGTAAAAATGAACAAAGCCAGTGACATAGGGGGTAATGTGGTCATCATGGAAACGCTGACAGAAAGGCAGACACCAAATAAGTTTTACTAGAAGAAGAACTTTAGGGGTTTGTTCTACAAGAAAACTGTAATGATGCAGCTTATTGGAGGATGCTGACTCAAGTTTATCCATTACTTCAGCTTAAATAGAGTGTTAATAATGGCTTAGTGACAGTAAACACTTGCTGAAGGCTTACATACTGTTACTAAGCCAATATTATAATTTAAAAATGAATCTCACCCTCTACGGATGGTCTCATCCTTCCAAGCCCGGGTCCTGTACCAGAGGCCTGGGAGCTTGAGGGTTCTGTGCAGTAGCTGTTCCTAGAACTGCACTTTTCTGGACTGTCTACTGTTCTTCCTGAGCAGCCATGATGAGTGCCTGTGTGTTGTCCTTCAGACAAGCTCTTTCTAGCCATTGGTAGGATGTCGACATCAGCCACTTCAGTTATATGTCGGGGGGACGGGACTGGATCAGCACAGACAAGTCTGTGGTGGTAGAGTAGCGGCAGACAACTGGATTTGGACATTTATTTCCTGATACTTGGATGGCTTGCCTCTGATTTGATAACAGCAATGCAACTCTACCACTAACTCAGTTTGCGCTGCAACATGGAATGTTTTTTCTCAACAAATAACACAAGCCTGGAGGAGTTTCTGCCATGTGGTTGAGTTGCTAATGCTAATGGTTAGCTTCTGCTAGCCCATAAGTTCAATGCTGAACATCTTTGTTACGTTTGTTCTGTGTTGTTTTCCTGATTTCTACACAGAGGAGTAAAGTTTGTTTTTACTTCCTCGCTGACTGTTTCAGCTACAGCTGTTGCCTTCGACAGAGCCTCGCCGATGTTGGTGGCATCACTTCCGTCTCTGATGAAAATAACCAGGACTGGCTACGGACACCGACTCAAGGATGCAACCTCAGTCAGCCACCTCCTCTACATGGATGACGTGAGCGAGCGAGACATCGACTCACTGATCCATCCCACCAGGATCTACAGCACTGATATCAGAATGTCGTTTGATCTTGATACAGTAAGTGTGGTCGGACAGTGACAAAGAAAGTAAAGGTAATCCAAACAGAAGGGGTCTCACTCCCAGAAGGAATAGCAGACAATGAGGACAGCTACATACCCCACAAGCAAATGGCAACCTCGATGAGGCCGCAAGGAAAGGAGCCACTAGATGTGGCATGTGTGTTGTATCTTGTCCATCCCAAGTTGTGATAGCAGTTGTTGTTTGTGGATGTTGAGACACTGAGCTACTAGTTTTTGGCTAGCAGTAGCATTCCCAGACATGAAAACAGGTCATGGGTGAAAAAGGGGAGAACCCCTGCATGCAAGCATGTTCGGCGACTACACACACACACACACACACACACACACACACACACACACACACCCTGCTCAGCAAGTGAACCTGCTGCAAATGAAAGCACCAGTGATTTTGAACATGAACAGGGGGAGCAAATTTGGTCCTTGAAGGCAACAGTGGCGCTCTCCATCCCGCAGCGCTCCTCCGTGAGAGCGGGGGTGGAGGTGGGGGTTGCACACATTCCGCTGCTGTTTCTCACCAGTATCAGCTGATGCGAGGGCTCTAATTTCATTGCACCGTTCGTGTCAGTGGACACGGTAGGGTCGGAGAGGGGGGCGGGGCATGGCGCTTAGCCTGGCGGGTGGCCAAACAAAGCCTGGCGGGCCACCAGGCTTATAAAGCGCTGGGGGAAAGCCTGCTTTGACACTATGGATATCTAAATATTTACAGCTATATGATTCATCTAACTCTTTGTACTGATTTGGTGAAAAACCAGTAGAGCTCAGATGTTTGTTGTTGTACAATAAAGTCAGATGTCAGTAATGAAAGGCTCTTTATTGACCAGGCCTAAGGGCATGTAACCAGCTGTAACCAACAGAGACAGGGGTTTGGTTCAGTTCTTGGAAGAAAGTGTCTTTTCTTTAACATAATCCAAAGTTTAGAATAAAATGGATGTTAGCTAGTTTAGGGTTCATGTCTGTGTCTTGTAACCCTGTTGGTGTATCAGTGGCACAGCTTCAAAGTGCCATCTCATTATAAAACTGGAACAAACTGGCTTTGGCAGAGAATGTGAGGGTAACTAACAAGACCAGTCTGTGCTGTGTGTGTGTGTGTGTGTGTGTGTGTGTGTGTGTGTGTGTGTGTGTGTGTGTGTGTGTGTGTGTGTGTGTGTGTGTGTGTGTGTGTGTGTGTGTGTGTGTGTGTGTCTCCTTCACATTCAGCACAGTTCCTAAAAGAAGCCCTATTGCCAGGCCACATAGCCCCAATAACTCAGAGAGAGGGACACAAAAGGTTGACTGGACTCATTCTGAATCTCGAAACTTTAAGAGTAACAGCCTCGTCATTTAGAAACTTCAACTGATTCAACAACCTCTATGTCTACAGTAATCAAGAAGACATTTTGCATCAACTAATTAAATGGTAATTATGTTTGGTAAAGCTAAATGTACACCCAACAAAAATGCTGTGTGTATCTCCTCTCAAGCATTAGGGACATTTAGAGCAGCATTACCAAAGCCACAGCAACATCCTGGCAGCCAACAGGAGGGTTGGCTGTTATTTTCCTGAATAATAAACAATGAATTGAGACAAATACAGATGAGCAAACATCAACTCCCAGGTATAAACAAGATATCCTCAGATCAACAACTCTACAGCTTCGAAAGAAACCTGGTGCGATGGTGAGCGTGTCCGCAGGCATGGAATGACCTCTGCTGTGACTAAGGAACAGTATGCGGTAGCGTGTGTGTGTGTGTGTGTGTGTGTGTGTGTGTGTGTGTGTGTGTGTGTGTGTGTGTGTGTGTGTGCGCGTGTGTGTGTGTGTGTGTGTAACATAATCCCAGAGCAGCAGCACAAAAGCCAGCACGTGTCAGCCTGTGTGTGTGTTGGCACACTCTCACAGACAGAAGCAACAAGGATGGAGACATGTGGGTATTTAAAAGCTTTTTTAAATCATGGGATGGTAATTTATACCAAAGCGGTGCACCTGTAAAATATTAAGCACATTCATATCTACAAAATAGGTTTTTTGGATTTTAAAGCTACCCTAGCAAATTTGGAAAACAAATTAGCTTAAAACTTTTTTTAACCAACATTCTAACGTAGTATAGCAATAATTATATTGTGGAGTTTAAGAATAAATAAACAAGTAAATGATTAATAGACTGGTTCTCTAGTACTTGTCTAAAAACCTCCACCAGGGTTTTTCCTACGTTCAAATTTGCGTGGCGGTCACCTCCAGCTAATTTTGTGCTGCCCCTGCCTGATTTCACTCTGCCCAAAGCCATTTTTTGCCAAAGTTAAAACAGTAAACCAGGTCAGACATTTTTTTAACTATAATAACTTTGTTGTTATTTGTATTTATTTGGGTTAAGGGGAACAGATAACATAAGTTTAGCTTCTTTCTGTTCCTTTTTCATTTTTTGTTTTTGCAAACCTGTTTTGTGTTTTGTTTTTATTTGTAAATAAATGAAAATAAACAAAAAATAATAATAATAAGTGCATCCCTAATTAGAATGCTTAACTAAAAAATATTTTGCCTATAAAAAGTGAGGCAATTGAATGCAGAGTATGCATGTGCTGGCGCATGGTCAGGATGGTACCACCTCTGCCTCAATTTGAGCCAGGAAAAACCCTGTCCACCAACCAAAATCAAACGCTGGACTATCCGGTTGTTGGTCTCGCCAAACCGCCACACTTCCCTGAGTCCTCTATTCATTACACCCCTGTGTATTTAGCAACAGCTCACCTCTGGTGTGAGGGATTCCCCACTCAATGACATCAGAGGAGAAACAGCCAGCTGCTACCACTTCAGCTTTAGAACAAACTACCAGCGTCCCAAAGAGAACAACACTATTTGAAGTCACGGACAACAAAAGACGTTTGGACGTAGAAAACACTGACTGGTGTTTAGGGCTGTCGCGGTAACCGCAAAAATGAAATATCGCAATATGAAGAAGCCCACCGCGCTGCATCATGGGCCACCGCGATTACTGAACTTGGTTCAACTCAATGATGCATGTTGAGAAGGATGGCTGCACTGGTATCAAAACGAAACGTTACTTCGCTCCTTTGGGAGCACTTTGGTTTTCAGTACGTCAGCTGCTGCGCAGCCAGAGTCCTTGGCCGAGACAGAGCTGCCACCAGCGGCAAATAAATAAATAAATAAATAAACGCTCGGAGACCTGCTGAAGTCCCGGACAAGCACTGCTTCTGCAACCGTCCCGAAGAGAGTTTGAGCCGAGCTGGAGCTCACTCGCTACCTGCAGGAGGAATGCATCCACCCTAAAGAAACCCCCCTGACATGGTGGAGCAACAACCGGGAGAGATTCCCTTTGCTCGCCAGTCGCACGCAGGTACGTGTGTGTTAGTGCAACGAGCGCACCATCCGAGAGGGTTTTCAGTGTTGCTGGAAATGTTGCCTCCCCTCTCAGATCCTCTCTCAAACCGTATATGGCTAACATGCTGGTTTTCCTTGTGGGTAACAAGGACGTGACCGAGCTATAAATCACCATCATTCGTGTGTGTGAAAGTGAAATGATAGTGCGCCCGCCCCCCGGCGCGCGCGCGCCCGGTACATGTAATTTTTTATGCTTGATTTTAAACAACTAAACAAAATGGGGACTTGTTTCTTATTTGTTAGATGCTGCAGCCAAATTTGCATTTAAAAGTTTAACCTCCTGAATTTTGTTGTTTTTAAGTTCAGTCGGACTCCGACTGTCGGAGAAACAAACGTTACTGCGATCTGTGTTGTTACTGC